TCCAGGGTAGCTCACACAGGGGAGGAACTTCTGAGTGCTGAACAGAGAAAATCGACAGATGGGCCTGTCTACCGCCTCCTCGCGCAAACTGAAAATCGGAAACCATGTTGAAAGCCTCGACAACGGAAAGAACATGGTGTCTGCTCTGCGTCAAGCTGAAGGTCTGTGCCATGCGCCATAGCATGGCTCACGTGTTCAATCTGGTTGTCAAGCGGTTCCTAAAATCCACCATCCCACTGCAAGACATCCTTAAAATTTCACGTACAACTTTGCATGCATTTCAGCCATTCCTACACCCTGCAAAGCACACCCATCCTTGAGCTGCAGCGGCAGAACGGAATTCCACATCATCGCTGATCTGCGACGTTGCACAACAAGGTGGAATTCAACCCTACACATGTTAGACCCGCCTTTACGAGCAGCGAAAGGCCATCACCGATTTCCTGATGTTACAAGCGGATAAAGGTACTCCCCTGTGTAACTTCGATGTCAGCCATTGGCAGCTCATGCGTGACACCTGCCGCTTGCTCAGGCCCTTTGAGGAGGCGCCACGCTATTCGTGAGTCGGCAGGACTATGGGATGAACGACGTCATTCCTCTGTTGCACGTCCTGGAACAAATGCTGTTAACAATGGCTGGTCAGGGTGCGGTAGACGTGGCGCACAGATCTCAACGCCACATGACCCCTGTGGGGGCAGGACAGGAAGAAGAGGAGGAGGTAGAGGAGGACATTTGTGCTCAGGAATTATTGAGTGAAAATGGGTGGTTTTTCCACTCAGCGGACAGGAGTGGAGGAGCAGGAGCATCTGGTAGAGGAGGAGGAGGAGGAGACAGAGGACCCAGACGCACCGTGGCAGTATGCTGTGGAGATGGAGGCAGGGAGTCCCTCGCATTCCTTGGCACAAATGGCCCATAGCATGCTCGGTTGCTTGCGTAGCGACAGCCGAATAATAACCATCAGACAGAGGGATGACTTTTGGCTGTCCACCTTGTTGGACCCTCGCTACCCGTTCAAAAATGGTGGCCTTTTTCACACCTGCTGAGAGGGAGGCCAAAATAACGTACTATAAAAAACCACCTATGTAGTCAGTTGGTCTCTGCCTTTGTGCGCCAACGTCCATCCTCAGACACTGTGGGCCCTGTGCGCTCTCGCGTTCCGCTGCCATGGCAGCAGGGAGGGGTGGGGTGGTAGGAGCAGTGGCAGCTCCACCAGCAGCGGCTGCCTCAGTCTGCAGTCGATGATGAGTAGCTTTCTTCACCAGCGCAGTGAGGAAACTACTAACCAGCCGGCCGCAGCAGCAGCAGCAGCAGCAGCATCAGGTGGACCTGGAGCAGGACCTCAAACAACAGGCTTGGGCCCTACTTGGACAGCACCCTGCCAACCGAGGTAGACAATCCCCTTGACTACTGGTCAACGAAACTTGACCTTTGGCCCCAACTAGCTGAATTTGCCCTTGAAAGGCTGTCATGCCCGCCAGGCCAGTAGCGTGGCATCGGAGCGCGTGTGCTTAGTGCGGCAGGAGGTATTGTAACTCCGCGGAGGACACGACTGTCCACCCAAAGTGTGGAGAGACTCACGTTTGTGAAAATGAATCAGGCGTGGATTAGTCTGGATTTCAAACCACCAGTTCCTGACACACAACTGACTAAATCCCGCCATGAATCATGCCTCAAACATGTGCCACTTTCAGGTCTCCTCACACACTGCTGGTGTGTTAGTTAATTTTTTGACATAGGGTGCTGGCAGATTACGGGCTCTCCATAGCTGCTGCCAGGCCCCTAATCTGCCATAGGCCCCTATATACCGCCGCCTCCTCATGCTGCTGCCAAAGGTCCAGGGAGTCTCTCTCATGGGTCCCTGTACGGCCTCCCATTGCTGCTGTCTCCATCGCCACACTCTGCCATGTGCCACTTTCAGGTCTCCTCACACACTGCTGGTGTGTTAGAATTTTTTGACATAGGGTGCTGGCAGATTACGGGCCTCCCATAGCTGCTGCCAGGCCCCTAATCTGCCATGGGCCCCTATAAACCGCCTACCCTCATGCTCCTGCCAAGGTCCAGAGTCTGCCAGGGTCCCCTGTACGGCCTCACCATTGCTGCTGCATGTCTCCATCGCCACACTCTTTGTGCCACTTTCAGGTCTCCTCACACTGCTGGTGTGTTGAATTTTTTGACATAGGGTGCTGGCAGATTACGGGCCTCCCATAGCTGCTGCCAGGCCCCCTAATCTGCCATAGGCCCCTATATACCCCTAATATACCGCCTCCTCATGCATGCTGTGCCAGCCAGGTCCAGAGTCTCTCATGGGTCCCTGTACGGCCTCCCCATTGCTGCTGTCTCCATCGCCACACTCTGCCATGTGCCACTATCAGGTCTCCTCACACACTGCTGGTGTGTAGAATTTTTTTGACATAGGGTGCTGGCAGATTACGGGCCTCCATAGCTGCTGCCAGGCCCCTAATCTGCCATAGGCCCCTATATACCGCCTCCTCATCTGCTGCTGCTGCCAGGTCCAGAGTCTCTCATGGGTCCCTGTACGGCCTCCCATTGCTGCTGTCTCCCATCGCCACACTCTGCCATGTGCCACTTTCAGGTCTCCTCACACACTGCTGGTGTGTAGAATTTTTTGACATAGGGTGCTGGCAGATTACGGGCCTCCCATTGCTGGCTGCTGCCAGGCCCCTAATCTGCCATGGGCCCCTAGGTACCCGCCTCCTCATGCTGCTGGCCAGGTCCAGAGTCTCTCATGGGTCCCTGTACGGCCTCCCATTGCTGCTGTCTCCATCGCCACACTCTGCCATGTGCCACTTTCAGGTCTCCTCACACACTGCTGGTGTGTAGAATTTTTTTGACATAGGGTGCTGGCAGATTACGGGCCTCCCATAGCTGCTGCCAGGCCCCTAATCTGCCATGGGCCCCTATATACCGCCTCCTCATGCATGCTGCCAAGTCCAGAGTGCTCTCATGGGTCCCTGTACGGCCTCCCATTGCTGCTGTCTCCATCGCCACACTCTGCCATGTGCCACTTTCAGGTCTCCTCACACTGCTGGTGTGTTGAATTTTTTGACATAGGGTGCTGGCAGATTACGGGCCTCCCATAGCTGCTGCCAGGCCCCTAATCTGCCATGGGCCCCTATATACCGCCCCTATAGCTGCCAGGTCTCCTCATGGCCACCTTTCAGCTGCTGCCAGGTCCAGAGTCTCTCATGGGTCCCTGTACGGCCATTGCTGCTGTCTGTCCCATCGCCACACTCTGCCATGTGCCACTTTCAGGTCTCCTCACACACTGCTGGTGTGTTCCATTTTTTGACATATTGGGCTGCTGGCCAGATTACGGTCTCCCATAGCTGCTGCCAGGCCCCTAATTGCCATAGGGTGCTGTCCGGCCTCCTATGCTGCTGCCAGGTCCAGAGTCTCTCATGGGTCCCTGTACGGCAGCCCCTCATGCTGCTGGTCCAGGTCACAGTGTCTCATGCCATGTGCCACTTTCAGGTCTCCTCACATCACTGCTGGTGTGTTGAATTTTTTTGACATAGGGTGCTGGCAGATTACGGGCCTCCCATAGCTGCTGCCAGGCCCCTAATCTGCCATAGGCCCCTATATACCCGCCTCCTCATGCTGCTGCTGCCATAGGTCCAGAGTCTCTCATGGTTCCCTGTACGGCCTCCCATTGCTGCTGTCTCCATCGCCACACTCTGCCATGTGCCACTTTCAGGTCTCCTCACACTGCTGGTGTGTAGAATTTTTTGACATAGGGTGCTGGCAGATTACGGGCCTCCTATAGCTGCTGCCAGGCCCCTAATCTGCCATAGGCCCCTATATACCGCCCTCCTCATGCTGCTGCCAGGTCCAGAGTCTCTCATGGGTTCCCTGTACGGCCTCCCATTGCTGCTGTCTCCATCGCCACACTCTGCCAGCCATGTGCCACTTTCAGGTCTCCTCACACACTGCTGGTGTGTAGAATTTTTTGACATAGGGTGCTGGCAGATTACGGGCCTCCCATTGCTGCTGCCAGGCCCCTAATCTGCCATGGGCCCCTATAACTTCGACCGCCTCCTCATGCTGCTGCCAAGTCCAGAGTCTCTCATGGGTCCCTGTACGGCCTCCCATTTCTGCTGTCTCCATCGCCACACTCTGCCATGTGTGCCACTTTCAGGTCTCCTCACACACTGCTGGTGTGTTAGCATTTTTTTTTGACATAGGGTGCTGGCAGATTACGGGCCTCCCATAGCTGCTGCCAGGCCCCTAATCTGCCATGGGCCCCTATATACCCGCCTCCTCATGCTGCTGCCAGGTCCCACAGTGTCTCATGCCATGCCTGTGCCACTTTCAGGTCTCCTCACACTGCTGGTGTGTTGAATTTTTTGACATAGGGTGCTGGCAGATTATGGGTGCCTTACCTATAGCTGCTGCCAGGCAGGCCCCTAATCTGCCATAGGCCCCTATATACCGCCTCCTCCTCATGCTGCTGCCAGGTCCAGAGTCTCTCATGGGTCCCTGTACGGCCTCCCATTGCTGCTGTCTCCATCGCCACACTCTGCCATGTGCCACTTTCAGGTCTCCTCACACTGCTGGTGTGTAGAATTTTTTGACATAGGGTGCTGGCAGATTACGGGCCTCCTATAGCTGCTGCCAGGCCCCTAATCTGCCATGGGCCCCCGTACCGACTCCTCATGCTGCTGCCAGGCCCGTAATCTGTCATGGGCCCCTGTTGTCGCTTGTTGGCATATTCCGCTCGTTCAGATGCTCCTTCTCCTGCTACTCCTCTTCACGGATTCCATCAGCAGTCTTTCTTGGAATCCGTTTCCAAGAGACAACAGTTTGCGAGCACGCACCAGACGGTGCAGAAGCTGAACGTCCTTCTGTCCAAGTTGCTGCTGCCAGGCTCGTAATCTGTCATGCGCCCCCTGTACCGCCTCCTCATGCTGCTGCCAGGTCCAGAGTGTGTCATGGGCCCCCCGTACCGACTCCTCATGCTGCTGCCAGGCCCGTAATCTGTCATGGGCCCCTGTACCGCCTCCCCATGCTGCTGCCAGGTCCAGAGTGTGTCATGGGTCCCTGTACCGCCTCCCATTGCTGCTGCCAGGCCCGTAATCTGCCATGGGCCCCCCGTACCGACTCCTCATGCTGCTGCCAGGCCCGTAATCTGCCATGGGCCCCTGTACCCCCGCCTCCTCATGCTGCTGCCAGGTCCAGAGTGTGTCATGGGTCCCTGTACGGCCTCCCATTGCTGCTGTCTCTATCGCCACACTCTGCCATGTGCCACTTTCAGGTCTCCTCACACTGCTGGTGGTTTCCATTTTTGTCATAGGGTGCTGTATGGCCTCCCATTGCTGCTGCCTCCACCGCCACACTGTGGCTCCACACTCTGGTTTTGGCCCCGTGACTGCCCAAATGAGTGAAGTGTGCGGTGATTCTAAGATCGACGGCACTCATCTGCATGTCATACTGACTGACAGTATTATTTCTCTTCCCCAGCAGACTCCAAGGGCATTTAAATTAAAGGTACAGTGTTCAGCACTAATATTAAGTCTCTCTGAAGCCTAGAAACACCCTTTTTTAAGTTAAATTCACAGCGAATATATTCGACTCGAATCGAAATTTTTCCACGAATTCGCCGAATCAGTCGAATCGAATTTTTGAATACTTCGCTCATCTCTAATGGTAATGACAGACTCACCTGTATTCTTTGTAATAATACTAAAAAATGTGATACCTTATGGAACCCGTGGATTGACGAGCCCAGATATGACCCATTTTTCTTTCTTCTTTATCTATTTTCTAGTATCTCTATTTTCTTTTCCCTCTTTTTCTTATATATGTGATTAGCCAGGTCTCAGTTACCGTAGTTGTATGAGGTGTTTAATGCATTAGATGATTATGATTTAGTTGTAACTTCAAATAATGGTCAATGGGGGTTTCCCTTTTTTTTTTCTCTTTCCCCTTATCCTATGTATGCAGCCCCTTCCTTCCTGGTTCCCCTCCCTTCTCCCAACCCCACACACTGTGTTAGCCTTCTTTGATGTTTCTGACTGCATGTAATGATGAATTCTGCTTTTGGGCAGAGATTAGGCATTGCCTCTAAATAACTCTTTGTTTAACCCACATACTCCTTATTGCACTGAGACTAATCACTATGTTATGACTATTGTTAAATGGTGGCATTGTTGCTTATGTAAGATAACAAAAGTATAAAAATTATTGAAATATAAAATATACTATCTCTAGCATATTTATATATCTAGTATATGGGCAGGGCTTCGGAGGTGACGTCACCACGCACGTCGGGTGAGCTTGCGGTAATCGGTGAGACCAGAGACTACCCGATTTCAAATCTATGCTTGCTGTACTGGTGTCGAAGAAGACACTCAGAAATATGAGTGCAATGCATGTTTTTTAAACGGAATAAAGTGTTTTAAAATGGTTTTATGCTATGGAGTTCTCTCTTTCCTTCCTTTCATATGGTTTCATGAATATGAATGAGGAACGCTCAGCCAAGGGGTTATAGGAAAAACACTGACATCTCTGCAGATTGTGGCTCGCAGAGCTAATGCGCTGTAGCTGGTTTATAATATTACCAGCCTGGAGCTCTGGTGAGTTCATTTAATACATTTGGTGGCAGAGCAGCACTGCGTGGTAGTGAATATTATAGAAAGCACAAGAATTAAATATGTGAATTGATGGCCTTTTTATCACAAACTTTATATATATATATATGTGCCTGCTGTCCACCGGCTTGTTGTTACCTCACCCCTCTGTTGTCACCTCCCTCCCCCCTTGCCGAGTCCTCTCATCCTGCCGCAGCCTTTGAAGACAGGCTGTGCAGGATGAGAGGAAGTGGCCTCTGTGGCGAGGATCACAGCTCTCCCGGCAATATCGCCAGAAGAGTTGTGACCCCCCGCGCGGCCCGATTCAAAGGGGCGTGCCTCATTGCCCGGCAACTCAGCGCTGGGCCTGACATTGCCAGGGCAACTGGGAAGCGTCCTGCTTGGCCCTTAAGGCTGGAGCGGGACTCCCCGGATGTCTTGTCCTGCTGCTGTCCCCGAAGCTGCTGGGAGGTCTGAGCTGAGGCCAGACCCCCCGCAACCAACTCCGCTGAACACTCTGCCTAATACCTCGGGGTAGGACTATTACCCGCTGCCACTCTGCCTAATACTCGGGGTTCAGGAATATTACCCGCTGCCTCTCTGCCTAATACTTTGGGCTAGGACTATTACCCGCTGCCACTCTGCCTAATACTCGGGGTTCAGGAATATTACCCGCTGCCTCTCTGCCTAATACTTTGGGCTAGGACTATTACCCGCTGCCACTCTGCCTAATACTCGTGGGTCAGTATTACCCGCGGCTACTCTGCCTAATACTCTGGGGCCAGGATTATCCGCTGCCGCTGTGTGCCAGAAATACCTGCTGAGGGCCTAAAGATACTCTGCCTCATACCCTGGGTCAGGATTACCCGCTGCTACTCTGCCTAATACTCTGGGGCCAGGGATACCCACTGCTGCTGTGTGCCAGAATTACCTAGCAATAAAATTGGTAAACAAGCGCTGGGTAAAATAGACAAAGGTAAAGAGGAAAAGCTGCTCACATAAAAGGTAAACCTCTGGAACCTACTCATAAAATGTAAATATATATATATGCAGCACTAAAACTAGTAAGGATCAATAAATATCAATAAATGAACTAGTAAGTAATATCATAAAACCAATAAGGATCCATAAATATTAATAAATGAACTGATAAGTAATATCATATACGCATATAAAGAAATATAAAAAGTATAAACCTGCGCTCCAGAGCACTATGGATAGTGATGTGGAACAACGTCACAGCTTGACGTTAAAGTACATATAGTGACATAAATAATGAAAAGTCAATAATTTCCAAAGTCGAATGACAATATAAGGGTGAAAATCCGTGACTACTGTGGGTGTGAGAATGGATGTAGATTGCACTAACCAGAAAGCGCAATCTATTGCACATTGGAAAAAATTAGGACCAACTCCTGGTCATCTGGATCTGGAAACGTCACACGGGGTCATCTGGCCAGCATCCACAAGGCAGATAACACACCACAGGAAGATATCCAGGCTCCAGAGATGCAATCATCAGCCAGCAGGGGGAAGCATTCACATAGGTATATGCCCGGTCACAGGGATTCACCTTAGAGGGGGGGCTCGTAACAAGCCAGAGAGAAGAGCCTCCAATAGTGTAGTACTTTATTAATAATTTAGATAAGCATAACAGGAGGTATTTCAACTCACATCTGGAAATGACAGGAAAACCATGATGGCCGCCGGCCGTCCACGTGGGGGCCGTGCGGAATGACGTCACCAAATAGGGCTCTTTAGGTACCTGGATACTACCTTCATACCCTACTTGAGTGCTTGCCATCGTTTAATAAAGCTTTGTGTGTTTACCATCTTCTGTGTGTGTTCTGTCCTGCCTGTGCTTCCTCACAATATAGTTTTGGATATACAGTATAAATAAGGTATTTGATGGTTTTTGCATAATGATTTTGTATATGAATTAGATAATGTGAGTCAATTATTGAGTATGACACTTTTTTAGTGTACTGACATTGCACATAGCACTTTGTCTTTGCACGTTAGCACTTTTTGTCTATGTTTTGTATATCAACAGGGGTCTTGCGCACATTTGGGATAGTATATTTAAGGGTGTCAGGTAGCACTGTTTAATTCCTTGTATCTAATCACACTACTTTGGGATTTCAAAAGATAAAATAGCTGCTTCCTCTTTTCTAGGGTAGCGCCCTTATATTCATGTCCGGTGGTGTCATCTATAGAAAGTATTTGTGAATAAATATTTTATGACATACCAATTTTATGAAGGCTATTAGCAGTCATGGTTAAAGAAGAAATCCAGGCAAGACTGTGCCCGCACAGCATAGGTTAAATGTTCGTTTTAAGCAAAGATATACTTATCTTATCTGTCGATCCTCCAAGTGCAAGACCGGTCCCTGCTGCTTCTGCCCCCCCCAAATTGTCGATAACAGTGAATACCACCCAAACGTAAAAAGGTGTAACCTAAGTACACCACTAGAAATAAAATAGGTGACTATGGGTGAACAAAACACATAATTACACAAAACAAAAAATTATTGAATAGAATGCACGTGAAAACATCCAAATAGTGGATAATAGTGAATACCACCCAAATGTAAAAGGTGTAACCTAGGTACCCCCCTAGAAACAAAATAGGTGACTATGGGTGAACAAAACACATAATTACAAAGTAAATATATATATATATGAATATATATTACTTCTTTTTGAATTGTGCCCAAAAAAAAAACGTGATATGATCCTATTGAGGATCCCAAAACTCAGTGATACAAATACAACACAAATAATATCCTGCAGCTGATTAGTTGCTATAGGAAATGCTCCCACATTTAAGTGTTCACAGTGAACATAATAAAGGATAAGTGGAAGGATATTATTTGTGTTGTATTTGTATCACTGAGTTTTGGGATTCTCAATAGGATCATATCACGGTTTTTTATGGCACAATTCAAAAAGAAGTAATATATATTCATATATATATATATATATATATATATATATATATATATATATATATATATACACACACAGTATGTATATATATATATATATATATATATTTACTTTGTAATTATGTGTTTTGTTCACCCATAGTCATTTGTTTCTAGGGGGGTAAATAGGTTATACCTTTTACGTTTGGGTGGTATTCACTATTATCCACTATTTGGATGTTTTCATGTGCATTCTATTCAATAGTTTTTGGTTTATGTATATTTATATATAAGTTTGTACCCTGTGTGGGGTATTAACATCACAGGAGTTTATTTATCACCTAGAGATATCGCAGCACCAATTAGTCTTCAAAACAAGCACTTAACCTATGCAGTGGGGGCACAGCCCTACTGCATGGGAAAATACAATTTTTAACCAGAGTTCTGCTTTAAGAGATATCTTGCTAATGGGTTCAATGACCTGGGACTGTGTTCTGACAGACATGATGTGACTGGAATGTTGTAATATAATTTATGGTGGCCTGCTTTGTGTCTGAAGCTGACTGTTCAGTCTGATGATTTTGTTGCTACCCCATGGTGCGGTGTTCACTATGACTCCTCATTTCCTTTTCTCAATTTGGGGTTCATCGGACCTTATTATTGTCATAGTTCTCCCATTGCATTTAGGTACTATTAAAAATGAATTGCATCATAATACACTAAGATGTGTATGGTAAGTTAACGTACATCGCATTGATTTAGCGGATAAAGCAGCTAGCTACAAAAGATGGCTGTCATAATGGACATTAGAACCATTCGGTTGACTCCAGATGAGCTCAAATGCAAAATTTTAATGTTTGAGTTGGGTATTCTAATAACAAGGACCAGATTGGGGACATACAGGCAAAGTTTTTGCATTCTCTACATTCGGCCATGCTAAAACCAGTAGCAAGTTCTGAAAAACTCTAGTTTTAACCTTTGAGCATTTTGTTCTCGGAATGTTCTAAGGCTTTTA